GGATGGGGACGGGCTGGGCGAGGGGTGGAAAGGACGGGGGGCTTTGGGCTCTCTCCGCCGGCCAGGGAAGCAGCACTGCCATCACCTCACCTCCCTGTCCGCAGACGGGTGGGCGCTATCACTGCCTCGGGCAGCCTCTCCTGGTGGCACCTTTGGGTTCATGCTGGAGGCACTTGGGAAGGAAGCCAAGCTCAGGTCGGCCTGGCTCTTTTGCTTGGCAGGCGGGCGCACACCTGCGGCTCACTTTCCTGGCTCTGCCCATCCCGCACAGCTCTGGCACGGCCCTGGCGGGATGAGCAGAGGGTCCGGAGGGGAGGCGCTCGCTGCCTTGGTGACAGCTCTGCCACCGGGCAGGAGGGCCCGCCTGTCAGCTGCGCTGGGCACCCCAGGCAAAGCTCTTCGCGCTCTGCCTGGCGCCAGGCAGGGATGGCGGCTGGGTGCTTCTCCCGGGGTGGGCCGATCCTGCATTGCGGCCCCGGGAGATTCGCCTCCCCACGTGGGGTTGGGCTGCCCTCTTGGGCAGGGGAGGCTTTGTTGGAGTAGGGCGTCATTTTTAAAAGAATTGGCTTTTCCTTCGAAGACAAAGGGAAGGCGGCGACAGGAGCGCCTGAAGCCAAGTGTCTCCGCAGGGCTCCGGCTGCAGGGAGAAGCCCTGGCTGGCCACGCATGGCTGCACCAAACGCTGCGGCGTTGCTCTAAACGCCGCGGCAGCAAGGGAGAAGGGAAAGCAATGGTGGCAGAAGGTCTCCCGATACAAAGTGCCCCACCAACGCCGAGGTCAACATCCAAGCTGTCGCCGCCCGCCCACCCGAGGATGCAAGGGGGGGAATTAAGTCACCCCCGAAAAGACGGCCTAGCCGTTTTTTGGGGGGTCAAAAAAAAAAATAAGGCCCGGCCTTATTTTGTGAGAAACACGGTACATATTGTAGGAAGAAAAATCCACCAGGTTCAGTTCCAAGTAGGGAGAAAGGCTCTGGAAATATAATGGAGGCTAGTTGCTTAGGAAAGGAGGTCCATTTATTGATGAACAGAATCACAGTGTACAGTTCTGGGACAGCTGACAAATTAGCTTGATGAGTGCAAGGATTTTTATACAGTTTCTGAAATGCTGCTGGGGTGGTGCAATGTAGTGAGCTCTGTGTCTTTTGCTATTCTAAAGGTGGTGGCTTAATCCTATTATGTCCTAAAGGTCATGTCATCTGCTTAGAATTTGAGTGAAGAAGGATGAAAATTGTAATCCCATCACTGGAGATGAAAATATTTTGTTTGTGAATAGGCTGGCCCAGGATTTCTTAATGGGCATCTGCTGTAGGCTATTAAGAAATACTGAGGGCAGCTTTCTACCTTTAAGAACATGTTTCTCCATTTCTCCTTTGGGAAAATATAATATTCTACCTCTTTTAATATTCCCCAAAATATTTTATTCTTGGGGCGGGAGCTTAGCACAATACATACATACAGTAATTCTGTTTTCACTCTAGCTAGCACTATCTACAGAAGCTGCAATTTATATTTTACTAACAGATTCTGCCTTTTGGAAGAAGTTACATAGAAAGATTTTTCAGTAGGTGTGGAAGGACTTATTTCCCAATGATCTAAAAGTGCCAATTATGAAATTTAAACTGCTAAAATACAGAAAGTTTGGAGTACCCCTGCAGCCAGATTTTGTGTAAGTTAATCATTTCTGCAATCAACTAATCAGCTCAATATGTTCCCAAAGGTAACCTGTCATTATATTCCAATTTAAATATATTTTGCATATCCAGTAGCCCTGTTCTGGGATTTCAAACTCTTCCTGTTATGTTCTGGGTGAAGAATGGAGGCAAGGCAAGAGAGATTTCTAACAACTGTTTACTCAATACTGCCTGTGTAGACAACTGAACTCCCTGGATGACACAGCTCCTTTTATAAGGAAACTGATCAGCCAAACAACCAATCAGGAGAGAGTATTTTCATGCTCCAACAGAGGGCCAGAATGAGAACTTCAACTGACAACGATATACAATACATAACACTGTCTATGCTATTGCAAACTGGAAAAAAAAACATTCTGCAAAATATTGCTAGGGCAGCAGGTCTGCACCAGCTCTGTGAGGTATGAATAAAAGGGAATCATACCCCAAAAGCTAAGGCTATAGGTATCTGGTAGGATCCAGAATGATATCATACATACTCTGATATCATCATGCAAGTGATAAAGATTATGTAATTTATGTCACATCGGGACCCATGAGATCATTTTCTCTCTAGAGATATCCATGCTTGTAGGTTTATCATTTATATGGCCATTTCTTCCAAACTAATCAAATCATTCAAAATTGACTGATCTTTCTACCTAGAAAATATTTTAACAGAAACAATGAAATCAGAAATATTCTCAGATAGCAGTAGTAATAGATTTCATAATTTGCAATTTTCCTCACTTTCCCCTGCCATGCATAACTTAAGATTATGAATCCCTTGGATAAAAGACAGTTTATGTCAGTATTAAAGACTTACTATCTCAGGGGATCAGAAAAAAAAAAACCATGGAAGGAAAAGCTTTTTCAATGAGACATCCTGGGGTGGGATTCTACCGGTTCGGACTGGTTCTATAGAACTGGTTGTTATGATTCTGTGCAGTTCAGAGAACTGGCAAATCATGCCCCTGGCTGGCCCCGCCCCTCTCTGCCCACCCCTCCCCTCCCTACCCAGTCAGTCCTTATTGTGCATGCGCAACATTGCGTGCATGCCCAACATCGCTGACTGTGTTCTTCCCCGCCCAGTCACTCCTTAAAGATATTTTCCCCTCCTGACTGTTCTTATGATCAGCTGTGCCAGGATTCCCCTCGCTTACTGCTTTGCACGGCTCCCCTGCCCCACTCCATTTTTTGCCTTCCTGGGCTCCAGGGAAGCTTCCTTGGAGCAAAAACGCCCCCCCTCAGCAGGCTCCCCTAAGGCCCAGAACGCCCCAAAACGGAGCGCAGAGGGGTGCTACATGACCCCCTATGCTCCATTTTTTTCTTTCCTGAGCCCAGGAAAGCCTTTTGGGAGCAAAAACACCCCCCAGGAGGCTTCCCTGAGGCCTAGGAATTCCCAAAAATGGGGGTGGGGGGGTTGCTGCAAAAAAACCAAGAAGCCACGCCCACCCAGTCACATGGCCATGCCCACAGATCCAGTTGTTACAAAATATGATCCCACTTTGAGACATCTTATTCCAAACTGTTGAGCTTTGTTTCCAGGAGATATAAGAAACAACAGGTAAGCAGACTGTCAAAAATCTAAGTGTCATGTTGCATTATTCTGACATTTTTATGGTGTGGAATATAAGAAGAAAGAATTCTCCATTTTCAGCAATTTCTGTTAAAGGAAAATTAATTCCAATTAACTAATGAAAGCCCCAGGAGCAGCAGGGAAGTACAAGCAAGAAAGCGTATTTTAAACAACAATTTAAGTTTCATCTTACAGCAGTAATGAAAGATGCCACTGTAAACATGCTTATCTCAAATTGGTGAAGGATTACTTCTATGTGAATGGATTCAAGTGTGGGCACAGTGTCTCTCACACTTGAATGTTCATTTAAAATACTGACAGTCTTGATTCCCTATCATCCTTGATACACACACACACACACACACACACACACACACACACACACACACACATTGTATTGGAAATGAGAAATAGGACACAAGCGCAACAAAATCATTTGATTTCAAACCTCTCTCTGATAGTTTTTGTTTTGTTTGCCTCTGTGCATTGCATTTATATTCTGCTTGTTGTCTGAGAATTCAAGATGGTTTTTTGTCTCTTCCCCTCCTCCCACATGTGGTTGCCTTTAAATCTATCTTTGACTCCTAAACAAGTCCATGCAATCTAAGGCTGTGTTTCCTGATTTTTTTAAAGAACAATAATCTTGAGAGCTAAATCAATCCAAAGACTGACCCAAAGCCAGTGAGCTATCTGTTTGAATGAGGTTTGAAATCTAGGTTATTTTAGTCCTATTCCAGCACTGATAGATATAGAGAGTAGTTTCTGAGTAGGGTGTATGCTTTTTGTTTTCCTCTGTCGTGTTATAGATATCTACACTATAGGAAGTACCCAGGTGACTAGCTTGATTTGAGGTAATTTTAATTTAGTAGTGGAAAAAAGTCCACTTTGCCACATTTCAGCATTTATTGGGGCGGGGGGGGGGGAAACCCATTTCATTGTGCACACATTTGTCCTGCTGTGCCCTACCTGGCAGAAATGGGTTTCTTTGAATCATGATTTTTTGCACTTGGGAGATCACCAACCCTTGTACACATCTTAGAAAACCTACCATCACCATGTGCTTTCTAAAACTGGGACCAGTCTCACAATACAAGCTAGTTGACTGAGCAGTGTATTTACTGAGATTATTTTGTTTAATTTTCTTAGGTATGTTATTAACTTAGCTCAAGTAATGACTCCAAAAAGTCAAAGGGTCAGGTCCTTTAGCATGCATGGGATGCATGTTAAGACCATTTCACTAATAATCCAGGATGTTGAAGCCATGACTTGACCATGAGAACTAAGCAGCTAGGAATATAATTTGATTTCCCCCTCCTTGAATAATGAAAGAAAAAAAATACGAATGGCACCAATGAAATTAGAAAAAAATAGGCTTGATGTAATAAGTAATATAGTCAGCATAGAAGTACAACGGACTCTATGTGGCTTTATGGTGATATTCTCTGCATTTGCTCTTAGCTTCCACCTCACTTCATGATGGTATGATTCATTTGGTCCTATCGCAAGAGCTTGTGGGTGCAGGGAGAAACTAGCTCCATTTTGAATGTTTTAGATACATGTAAGAAAATCCAGAGCTTCTGGTTCTTCACTCATAACATAATTAATAGTAAAAAATCTTTAGTTCTTCAAATGCCTCCATTCAAAACATAAGCTATAAGGCATGTGGTTGGAATTGGCAACTGTAATTGAAGCTTTGATCTACTGCTTTATATTTTGTAGCCCTAACGAATAATATTACTTTATTATAGTTTGGAAAATGAAAATGGAACAGAAGAAAAGAAGAAATTGGGAAAACCAGGCTTTGGGGTGCCACAAATATCATTTAATGAGGCTGACAGCTTTGAAGACCAGAAAAAAGTTGCAATTGCACGGTAATGAACTAGATTTGTCTAGAACCAACTAAATGAAACTTTTAGATTAGATAAATTGTTACATCTCTATTCCAAATCATAACTATGTCAAAACCATATATTTGTGAATGTTGGAGATCTTTGAATTCATTGACATAAGTTTCTACATTATCTCTGATCAGGATAAAGTTTGAACCTCTTCTGTAAGATCTGGGCTTTCCCTTTTATATTAGCCTCTCCCAGTGGCTCGGTTCCCAGCTCAATAGAGTGGGAACAAGAACATCTGTGCAAATCCAACCACCACATCTCTGTGTGTACCTGACTAATTTGCAGATGCCAAGCACTGCATTTGAAAGTATAGAAGGGCTGGAAGTAAGTTAATGTGGATGCAATTACACATTTCTCCTAATTGTTCACAGGTTCTTGCTCTTCTTATTTCTACAACAGGGATGTCAAACTCAAGGCCTGTGGGGTGCTTAGATCTGGCCCACGGGGCTGCCCTGGAAATAGCAAAAGACCAGCCCGCGGTGCCTCTGCCAACAAAAACGGAGCTCTGTTTTCAGTCACGACAGCCTCCTGCAACCTTCTGCCAGCAAAAACAGAGCTCGGGAGGGCTGCGCACAGCCCTCCTGAGCTCCATTTCTCTGGCAGAGGACTTCAGGAGGATCCCCCTGTTAGGAATAACATAGGTTACCTAACGTAGTTTGGGTAAAATAATATATATAGACTATGATTGTGAATTTAAGTGTGTGTCACTTTAAACTGCAAAGCATGTAATTTTGGGTGCGGCTGTAAAACCACCATAAGAGGGAGCAAGAGAACTGTATTGCTAGCTTACTGATTTGCTTGCTGACGATGATGGATTGATGGTGTGTTAACTGCTTGTTCTTTGATGTTGCTGAAGGAAGAAAGGAGGTTTGATTTCTTCATATCTCTAACTGCGAAGAGATATATTACTGGACTGATATTTGTAAGTTTACTGACTTCTTTTTCGACACTGGACTTTGCAACTGATTAATCCCCGAACGGACTGAACTTAGTGTACGATATATGGACTGTTTGACTATGCATATAAATCTTACTGGAATAAACTATTTAACTAGCACATTGTATCTGTTTTACTGAGTGTAAACTACAACAACGTTTATCTCACATATTTTGCCTGCCTGCCTGACTGCCGTGCAGGTTCTGCTAGGGTGTATATCCCTAACACCCCCCAACCCCATCCAGGCCATCACAGGTGTCCCTGACTTGAATAATGTTGAGCTGGCCACACCCACCCTGGCCATGCCCACCCGGCCCCCTGAGGTCAATCACAAGCCTGATGCAGCCCTCAATGAAATCGAGTTTGACATCCCTGTTCTAGACACCTCTGGTTTTAATTCTTTGGATGGCATATATTTGGAATTGTGAATAGTCCTGTGTATAAGTGCACCGATTCCTCTTCTCTTTCTTAGAGCAGCAAAACTAACATGACTGTTGGAAAATGAAATATTGCCATTTGAAAGTAGTATAAACATATTGTGCAATTTAGGGCATGTCAATTTTTCAACTTTCAATTTCTAAACATTAGGAGTGCTCAAAAGTTGTGACATGCTTTGAGACTGTAAATATATTTTGCTTACTTTCATATAATTTAGGTGTGCTTTGTAAGTAACTATATAAATATCATAACTTTTTAACATTTTGTTTGTTTCATTCCACTAAGTATTTGTATTGCATTTTGTTTGCCTATATATAACAGTGCAGTTTATATTCCATTCCTTTTTCCTATGTTTCTGTATATCTTTATAGTTATCCCTTTGAGAGTGATGTGCATTTTTTTCTTCTCTGTTGGACAGAAGTACCCAACTGTGCTTTGGGGGCAGAACTGAAGTTTTTGCCATTGTAAAAACTTGAAAAGAAGGGACTATTTCCACTAATTAGAGGTCAGGGAAGGATTTAGTCAAATGAAATGAGAAGAATGTTGCCTGTGAGAAGGGTGGACTCTTCAGTCACATTCTTGGCTATGTCAAAACGTTCAGTATACTCAAGATACTTTGCAGTATTAGGCTTCAAGTTTCAAAGTTTCAAAGAGGTGCTTTGCTGTGTTGAAGATTCATTCAAAGCACAGAGCTTCAAAGCAGTGGGATCTCCTCACTTGTGAAAGCAAAGAGATGGAGTTGCTTCCCTTCTGCTGCTCCAAAGTCTCTTTGACAACCTTTTTGTGACTCTTCCAGTAGCCAGAAAAGCTTTGTGAATGCATAGTATACTGAAAGCTGTAAGATGATGCAGAACTCTTCAAAAAGGAAATTGTATCATGACCCCTATTTATAAGTTAAATTGCATTGGTCTATAATGCACAGCACCTTACTGGGACAAATTTGAACACTCAAATTTTCTTAACCTCCAAATATGTGATATTTAGCTACCTGAATTGTCAGTAATGGCCAAACTGGAGGGGAATGCAAGGAACTGAAGTTCAGGTTGGGAAATGCCAATATAGGCATCATTATACTACCATATGGATTGTTTCCAACATATAAGATACATGTCTAAGTAGACAGATCTGTTAATACTAAGCATCTAGTTTAAGTCCTCAGTTACAACCACATTTGGGACCAGAATTTCCATCACAAGTCATTATGGTTGTAACTTGAGTTGAACCCAATTTTATAACAATTTTTACAGTGGTTGTTAAGCAAATCTCCATAGTCATTAAGAGAATCACGTGGTAGTTAAGTGAATCCAGCTTCCCCAATTTTTTTTTGCCAGAAATTGGCCCAAAAACATTGTTACAAATTATCATCATGTGACACTGCAACCTGTCATAAATATGAGCCAAGTGCCAAGTCCCCGAATTGCAATCATTTAACCGAGAAAGTGGTACATCTGTTGGACATGTAAGTACAGATCATGCCAAGGCCATCATAACATTGGATTATTGTTAAATGAATGCTCATAAATTGAGGACTACCTGTATTTTAAAGAATAGAAGTTTTGATGAAAGGCTTAACCAACAGATCTATTGCAATTTTCTTCATTAGAGGTAAAAGGTGACCCATTTTCCTCAATGAAATACACTACATCACCTTGCAGCCTGCTTGTTGTTTCTTACTTGCTTTTCTCAAGTATTTGCAAGAGCTGAAAGAGGCTTTTGATCCTATATAGCCAGAGAAGGCTGTAGAGCATTGAAGTAGCAAAGCTATGAAAGTCATTCTCTTTACAAGCAGAAGCAAGAAATTCACATTGTTTCATAAGTATCTTTAAGGGTATGCTTTACTCAGAAATTCATCCAACTTGGCTACATTTTTTAATGTGAAAAATCTATCTTTATAAAATGAGAATAATGTAACAGCACTATAATGTGATTTCCTTTAGGTCGAAGACAATTGTGGATAATAGTTTCTTGATGTTAGATGGCAAGAATGACTCAAAGGCTGAAAGGAAGAAGCATAGCTCAAACCAGGTACTGAGAAATACTCATCTGTTTAATATCTGAAATGTCAAAGACCCTGGCTGTGGCAGAACAACAAAAGGACCGCACACAACATCAGGCTGAAATAGCACGTCGGTGTTAAAATACCAGATGGTTGAAATACCATCTACCCCATAACTCTGGTTTATAAATAAGGGGTCATATTTGGAATCTGTAAGAGCTGATCCTTAGATGCACTTTATCCTCTGAATTAGTTCACGTATTAAGCTAAAGTGTGTTTTCTTTAACAATTAAATCAATAGCTTTAGACAAGTCTAACCTGCTTGCTCTGGTTCACATGGACCAGTTTTTAAATGCAAATCTACCCAACCTTCCTTCCTCTTCTCTCATTCTCCCTTTGTGTCCTACATTCTCCATCTTGATTCTAGGCTAGAGTACACTGTGTGATGCTAAATCAAGACAGCTGTCCCCATGGTGAAAGAAAGAGCAGCAGCAGCAGCTGCTGTTCACTTGGCTTTTGATGGGGTGTCATTGAGCAGGCATGCTGGATGTGGGAAAAGATTGTGCTATGTAAGCAAGGAGAAGAACAACTGGGCTCTTCATCCTGCTCCTATGCATTTCACAAAAGCTATGTCAAGGATTTGCACTGGTTTAATAGAGACCAACATGGATCTTGTTCAGATTTTCCATGCCACCTGATAATGGCAATTATATATCTCAAGATATTTGACTCTATGTGTTGATGCTGTTGGAAGAATGGTGATGAAAGATGCAGGCCATTTTCATACTCTTTATTAAAGTTAGGATAAAACAAGGCTCTGTTTCTCATTAACAGCTGCATTAGTATTAACATTTGAGCTTTGGTAGCCATTGGTGCTACATGGCTTTGCATAATTAAAGTGTTGTCTAGATTACCTGTGACATGGACATTGAGCATAATACAAACAGTAGCTTGTAATGCAGTCTGGATAGGCTGGGTCAACACTGCTGAATTGTTTAAGAGACGACTACAGGCAGGTTGTATGTGCTTACAACCAAAAACAAGCCAAGAGATTTGCTGCTGTCCCACTGTTTAAGTAAAATATGTTTTTGAATCAGCATACTGTGTGAAGCCAACCAGCCATTACAGTTCATACTCCATCATTTTTGTTTGTTTGTTTGTTTAAATATGTAATCCTAAGCAAGGGTGGTTTGTTAGGTAAACTATAGCTTGCAACAGTCAGAGGGTGGTGATAGGGATTCAAAAAAGAGAGACAGTCGGGCACAAATGTATTCAGCATAATACCTTTCCCCAAGTATTACTTGCAATGTAAAGAGCTGCTTATGGCATGAAACTATGGGGCCTGAGGTTTGGGGCAACCTATAGCTCTTGAAGGAAGGAATGCATATTTACAAACATATATCAGACAAGCCTACATGACTCCTAAAGAGTCAGTATGCATACAGTAAAGGCTCTATTCATGATTTATCAAAACAAAGTTATGCCTAATTTTGATATATCTGGATTTATCTTCACTGAATACACCTCAGTTGACTAGGTTTACTCAATAAGGCAAGTCTTTAACCATGGCTAATAAAACACAATGACTGGTTTACCGATATGCTAACCAAAAGTGAAATAAATTCATCTGATGTTGATTGTATCCACATATAACTAAGCCTAGAATCATCAAATAATTAAAGTAGTTAATTATTGTATTGATTCTGATCCTCTCGGAATAATGAACCACTTGAGGAACTACAGCAGTGTGACTTATTGTGCTTTCTTATCTTAGCAGATAAGAAAGACTAAGACATCTTATTCCCTTAGACAAAGTTTGTTGTGTGTGTAAGTTTTATGTATAAACACTGTGCCAACCCTGGAAAATACTTGTGATCAAACTAATTCTATCTAGTAACATACAGAGGTGAATTTCTTTTGAGTGTATAAATTCTGTTTCCAGCCTGGAACAGGAACAAACTTACCTTTCCAGAATATCAGATTCTGATTCTGATTGGTGGAGGCAGGAAGTAAAAAAAAATCAAGATGGCAACTGCAAATACACCATCTAAGTCCTGCACTTTTTTATGTGTCTCATGTTCCTACAAATTTGTTCATTCTGTTTTTGAGAAGTATGTGCAATATAATACAGTTCCAGTCCTTTCCATCTGCTGATTAAAACAGTATTCCCAGGATTTAATAATAAACTAGGCAAACAAGGGTGGGGACCATTAAAATAATATAGCAGTAATCAATCCAAATTTGTTTGTTTGTTGGTTTTGCTTTAGTTCAAGGCAAATGCTCATTTTCACAAGCTGTTTCTAGATGTCCCAATTGATGAACCTTTGAGGCAAAGTAAGTGGAATGCCATTTTTATCTGTTATGTTGCATTTTTATAAGTCATGTTTTCTACAGGTAATCCTTGTTTGGTAATTGCTTTGGATAGCAACCATTCACAAATACAACAGTAATAAAAAAAATCATTTTCCAACCAAGGCAGCATTTAGGACAACAAAAAGCCTTCAGTGTAAAATTGATTAAGGTCTGGTCAGTTTCAGGCAGGGGCTGCCAATCTGCAGGAATTTCTAATCCACTAATTAAGGCCACAGATCTGAGTTTATTAACTTACCTTAGTATATTGGGGGACATGCTCTTCTGCAGAGAAAAGCAACTCAATAAGGAATAGCTTGTTTAAACAAACTTTTCCAGATGGCAAAAAGAGAAGAAAAAGATGGATCATGCACAGGACACAGTAATAAGAGGATCTACATAAGAAGGCAGCAACCAATAATATTCGCAGCATCTTGATATTAGGGTTATGGAGAGTTTCACTTAAGCCTGGCTTCCTTTTTCTGGCACACACATACACACAATACAGTTCTGGTTCATAGCACATTCTAATTGTGAGCTTGCTTTCCCATGTAAAATCTCAGTACAGGTGGTACTCATTTAGTGACTGACTCATTTAGCAACTATTCACAGTTACAACAGTGATGGAAAAAGTAATTTTGTGACAAATCCTCACATGTATGACTTTTACAGGTATGTAAAGCAAAAGAAAATTATAGTAAGAGCATAAATATTCATGGCTGCACAGTGACAGCTTTGCTTAACGTCCAAATTGCTGGTCCCAATCGCACTCATTAAATGAGACTACTATTTCATATTGAACAGCTCTTTCTACTCAATATTCATGTATCAAGATGAAGATTTTGAGACAACTAGAATATTTTTCCAGACTTTTTAATCTTCGCAGAGGGTTTTCCCCTCTCAGAAATACCTTTGAAATTGCAATATTTGTTTTAAGAAAATTATCTTAGATATATAGTGTGTTAGATACATTGCCTGGTCAGGCTGTACATATTCCCAGTTAGATAACATTACTCATGTGATCTTTGTAGATTTCACCTGTGCCTTACAGAAAGAAATCATGTATCAAGGGAAGCTATATGTATCAGAGAACTGGATTTGCTTCCATTCCAAAGTCTTTGGAAAAGATATCAAGGTAAACAAATATAAACAAATATAGTATATTGAAATCAATAAAACATAAATATAATATATTGGCCATGCAGGTACAAAGATAGCCAGGGAAATGATTGAAGCCCGGGAAACGGGCCCCTCTTTAGTTAACAGGAGTGCTGAATTACCACCAGCTTATCAAATAGTTAGGAGCTGTGTTCTTGGCAGCACAAGAAAATGACAGGCGATTGCCAGCCATCAACACACCATTCAGCCAATAAGAAGGCACCACATAAGCATGACTCACAGAATAGCCCAGAGCACATATTCCAGTAGAGAGAAATTCCCTGAAGATGGGCTACAGCATGAGTAAATTGGAAGAGTAAATCTCTGGTCCTGGTGACCAACCCAAATTCGATCTTACATCATTATCCAGGGACACATATATTTGCCTTCATTCGTAAATAGATATAGCTTATGGTGTGCTAAAGAGCCTCAGTGGTGCAGTGGTTAGAGTGCTGTACTTGCAAGCTACTTCTGCTGCAGCCAGTGCCTGCAAAAATGGCAGATCAAATCTCACCAGGCTCAAGGTCAACTCAGCTTTCCATCCTTCTGAAGTGGATAAAAATGAGGATCCAGATTGTTGGGGACAATATGCTGACTCTGTAAAAACTGCTTAGAGGGGACTGTAAAGCATTATTGCTAAAATCCATTATGCAGGCCTAATTTTTATTTAATAAGCAACCAAATGCTAATGCTATATGGCAGGGATCCCCAACGCCAGGCTGCGGTCCAGTGTCAGGCCACAGCTCACTGGGAACCAGGCCTGTGGAAATGGTAGGCAAGTGCACGTGCATGTGCACACAAAGCTGCATTAATTAAAGATGGTTGTGCACACATGTACAAAACCATCCCCTCTCTTCCCCAGCCACCACTCCACCGGTCTCTGAGCTGAAAAAACTGAGGACCAATGCTATCTATCATATGCACTATATAAGTAGAAAATCAGACAACTTTGTAGCATGTGAGCAATTTAAAGGATTACAGTGAAATTGTTTCTATTGGTTATTTGACCAATAATTTCAAAGGTAAATTCTCACTTTGTAAAAGCAAAACCGTAAGAAAGCAGCAGGCTTTACTTCATAAGTTGAATTTCACTAGCCCTGGAACAGGATACAATTTGAGATGTTCAGCCTGAACTCCCAACTATAATGTGTGTTTCTTGCTTCGTAGCAAACTATAGTTAGATTCTGCCTTAGCATTATGTGAAGATTCAATTTGTATCTTTACTTGTAAGTTTCTCCAGTGTGGTTTTATTCTCAGAGAAGTGCTCAGCTAATTGCATTTTTAAAAATCTTTTCCTTCACAGCAAGTTTTTGAACTATTTATTTGGTTATAACATTGTCGGGAAGAAAACAAATACATGGAGTGCTTCCCAGCTGGATATAATAGAAATGAAATTTAGCTGAATATTTTGCAGTATTAGAAAACTGCTTAATTATAAAGAATTTTGCCAACCATTCCTTTTTATGACATTTTTAATCAATCTGCCTCCATTTCCTAATGATTAGCATTGTAACTGTATTTTTGGATGAAATAGAGGTCAAAACACAATGTAGTAATATTTTTGGAATATTTTTAAATGATAAATACAAAAATGGGCAATGCATATCAAAAGTAGCTTTCAAGCCTCTTGCACTCATCACAGATGGAAACGTAATAATTTTAAGCCCCCTGAAAATAACATCCATCTATTTTACATGTTTTATTATTTTTGTTATAACAAAATGTAGGCATCAAATTGGCACTCAAATTAGCTTAAATCTAAAAAAAAAAAAAACCTGTCTAGCTTTATCTGAAAGTATCTAGGTATCCACAAAGCAGAAATTTCCTTATAAAAACCAGTATTCACTTCTTTGCATAGGTTCTGCTGCATAACCATTAATATTGTTGGTTAAGTTGACGTCTTCATCTTGTAACAATTATTATGCTTTCATTTTAGATTACTATACCTGTGTTATCTGTAACACTAATAAAGAAGACTAAAACGGCCCTTTTAGTGCCAAATGCTCTCATTATAACTACAGTCTCAGATAGGGTAAGTTCTCATTTTATTTACCACATTATTTTGTTATGGTGGTTGTTTCTATTTCTGTACCCCTGCTTTGGGAGTATAATTGGGAATAAAAATTGAGAACTATATGAATTAGAAATCATATATTTCTGTTTTACAATTATTTTCTTATATTCTGTGCTCTTTAGTAATATCATTCCCAAAAAATGGGAAGTGGCACCAAATGTGATTACATAATAAATAAAGATAAAGCATTCTTAATATATCATGTTGAAGCTGATCTTGCTCAGGCAGAAATGTGCTAACTTGATGAAAGCCTTGGCCCAAAGTAACAGTGCAGAAAGCCTCTCATAATCTTCAATTATGAAAGGCAGATGATTAAAAGTCAATTGAGTACATGGGATTGCATGTGGTATGTAGATGCCTCAGATCCTTAAGTAATAATTAATAGGGCATACTTTAGTAAGAATAATAGGAAAGGCAAACTCTACTAGTCTTTCCTGGTTTTAAATAATATTTGTTGGTGGTTTTCTTTACAGTACATGTTCGTCTCTTTTCTGTCCAGAGACACTGTTTACAAACTGTTAAAATCTATTTGCAGTCATCTAGAGGTAAGTAAAACTTTCTTCAGCCGTATGTGTAAGGACAAGTCATTGGGATGGGATGGGATGGGATGGGAGGTTCTGAGGGTATGGCTTGGTGGACATGGCAGGGGAAGAATACTGTAAAATCTCCAGTCAGAGGTGGTATTTGCCGGTTCTCCGAACTACTCAAAATTCCTGCTACCAGTTCTCCAGAATTGGTGAGAACCTGCTGAATACCACCTCTGGATGGGATGGAATAGGAATAGGAATAGGAATAGGAATAGGAATAAGAATAAGAATAAGAATAAGAATAAGAATAAGAATAGAATAGAATAGAATAGAATAGAATAGAATAGAATAGAATAGAATAGAATAGAATAGAACAGAATAGAATATTCTTTATTGGCCAAGTGTGATTGGACACACAAGGAATTTGCATAAAATATACATGAAAGCAACAAAGTTACATAATCATAAGATACCAATAGGAGTAGGTAATAGGAAAAATGGTTACTTTTTCAGCACCATGTCATAACCTTGAACAGTTGCTAAGCAGGGCAATGGTTAAGCAAGTTCTACCTGTATATATCTGGCTATTTCTAATATTACTTTGTTAATCCTAGTCCAACTGTGTAATTTTTAAAATTGCACATTTCAGAATGCGAGTGTTGGCAACAGTCCTAATCCTTCTCCCCTAGAAAGTAGTTTCAGAGCTGATTGTCCTACAACATTACCTCTGGTAAGTTTATTTTTGAAGAGAAAAACATTTATAGTTGAGAGTTACATTAGAAATAGCCTTTTTATAAAATAAAAGAAAATATTTATTAATTTTATTTATGTACTAGAATTTCTATAGTTTCTGATAGCTCTGAGTGGCTTATGTCCAGCAATAGCAATTTAATTCCTATCAAAAAATGTCAGCAGACATCTAGTAGATGTCTTATTCAGAACAAGTAGGTTCATTTTCATTGTCCCCAAACATTTCCTGAATATCCATATCTTCAAACTCTTTGGAAGTACAACAGAGATGAAGTGGCATGGATGTCCAAAGGCAAGCTATCCTACCGAAAGAGACCACGAGTGAGATATCTCAGTTAGTGGATCCCTATAGACAACATTTAATGGAGGGACCCTTAATAAAATTTCTCTCTCACTTATTATTGCATGGGCACATTCAACCTGAGAATGTGGTGGTTTCAAAGGTAGCCAAATGTTGAGCCATGAAGAGCATATTACAATATTCAGCCATGAGATGACAAAAGCATGAATTATTTTTACGTTTTATTGATTAGACTTCTATGCTGCCCATCTCATCAAGGTGTACAATTATCTATTATAATGTACAATACCTCCTCATACAGAAAAGGGCACAACTGATATACATGATGTAATTCTGCAGAGATCCTCCTAAGATATACTAGAACTAAAGTCTACTTTACCAGGGGCATGAAATTTAGCCTATATCATCTGTATGCATACATACATTCACACATATAAATATATAGTTGAAAGCCCCCCCCAAAAAAAGTGACACATGATGATTCTTGCAAACTAAGTTCTTTATTGTTTGCATACCTATAGACAGAATCTTGTCAGACTAAACACTATTATCAACATCTACCATACATTCAGAGAACTATTTGGGAAAGACTATTTTCACCTGCTTTCTCTCAAACAAAATATCTGGATTGAGTTGTCCCGTATTCCTCTACAATGCACCCTCTGCCACCTGGGAACCCAGCCTGTTGCATTTCATCACAGAAACAATAAGACTAAGTAACATCTGCATAACTCTTCAAGCTCTAATGTTCCTTCCCATCAATTTCAAAGATGTAAAAGAAATAATATTATCTGCAAACTAAATCATTTGAAGTCGCAGGGCTTGATGAAAATCAATTGGTGATGTTTATGCACCTGGAAGCGTAATCTTCCATCTACAGTCTTACTGTTCCACCCATTAGGCTGCCTATGCTTTCCACCTGTTGTCTATTCCATTTGCACAACAGCATGTGAAATTGATTGTCAATCTGTGTTGCTACCTAAGTGGACAGATTGATTTCACAGAAGTGTGATTGACTTGGAGTTCCATTGTGTTGTTTAAGTATTCCCTTTATTTATTTTTTGAACAGTATATATACTGTATGTAACTACCAGCAAGACTCACTGTGTTTTATGGAATATGTGGAAGTAGACATAAGTAGGTCTGTACTGAGATCATTTTTATTGTCATTGTTTTCAACTTTGAGGGAAGAAAGGAAAATAACAAACTGATATTTAACTGGCATTTCTGATACATTGTCCCTTTCCAGGATTTCAGTCATGATTTCTCTGAACTGGATGGCATCATACAGAGACGTAGAAAGGAGATGGAAGAGTCCAGCAGCACTGGATCTCAAACCCCGGAATTGGAACACTTTCAAGGTTTCCATTTAAACAATTGTTTCTCGACTATCCTAAAACACCACCTTTTAGCCCAGACATCTGGAACACTTCAGCAAAGAATGGGGAGTACAAACATTGTTTAGATGTATTGTGATGACCCAGGGTGGGATACAAAACAAACACAGTCATAGAAAATAGGTGAAGCCCCTTTTATCCATTCAGTTTGCTTCCAAGCACCGAATATCTTTGACGGAAGACAAAAAAAATCCCACACAGTTACACGAAGAAGGAAAAAAAGCAACACAAACCAGGCAAGATAAGGGCTGGAGGATGTCCACAGATAACACACTTTGGGAATGATGCCAAACTCAGAGAGGAACTATAAACTAGAGATATTTACACGATTTGTTTCCAGCGTTTGCCAATACACAGGTCCAAACTCTTATTCAGTTGTCACACCTGCAGCCCATGAAGAGGATCAAGGCCCTCTCCTCCCGGGGAGACCACGTCTCTCCCTTATCCTCTCCTCCCTGCGTGCCCTAGGATGGATAGGGGATGGGCCTGAGTCCTCCTCTGACTGCTCAACCGATCTCTGCCCTTTCCCAGCCTCCTCCACAACCTCTGGAACCACATTTCCACTCCCTGTTGGCTGTTCCTCCTCTCCCTCAGAGTCAGTCTCCACCAGAGGCATGGCATGTATCAAAGTACTTCATCGGCATTTATTGGTCTCAAAACTGTTCAAATGGCCCACGCCTTCTTTTAGTATATGTTTTTTCTTCTCCAACAGATTATCACAAGACTGATAACCAGTCTCATTTTAAAAGTTCCAAGACAGACACAAAAGATGCCCATAAAGATGTACAGTCTAAATGTAGGTGTGATGATCAAATCAGGAATGTTTCAGGAAACAGTAAGTAAATCTTGTTGTATTTCTTTGGGTTGACCCATAACTGTGGCCAGAATTGTATAGTTTCTTCTTTGTCAGATGTTGATTGGCTCACTGCAATCTCTCTGTTAATGGATTGGCAGAAATGTTTCTTATTTGATTAAAATTGGAGATTCTGCCTATAGGATACAATTCAAATTCCGTATCTGCTGATCTTCTTGGCAATAGCTGTTATTTATTGCTTTATTATTTCCAGTGCTTCCTTGATCTTCCTTGTTTCTAGGTGACATTTCTTAATAAGGAACACTTTGGCGGTCTTATTCTTCATTTTGTTTTCTTTTTTTCATCTGTTCCAGCCTGCTTGCATCTGATCTTAACATACTGATTTTATTTTCCAATCTAATATTTATTTATTATTGGGGTTGTGTCATGTTGTTATTTCAATCAGTTTTGAAGTACAGTTCTCTAGATTGAAATAAAATGATAAGGTATGTGGATTTATATGGAAAATGTAGGATAAAAGCAAGAATGAGAGACACTGGGGGAAGAAGGAGGCCTAATTTATAGCTGTGAGAACAACATAAAAGGACTGTGACTTCCTATGTAGTATCCCAATTTCCTTTAATTTATATCAGGGAGTCTACATATGCTTGCAGATCAATTTCTTAACCACAGATTGTAGCCTTGAGTATTTTTGGAATTCCTTGCCTTGCCTTGTTATTCTGAACATATTTCCATTCAGATCAGTTTACATCTTAGAATGCATCTCCCATATGGTGAGAGAACCTAATCTGGCTGAAATAATAATCATATATTTAAGCTATAAATTTTAATCAAAGCTTTTTGAGATATTTTACCATCTTCATGTTAACTAGACAAAGCTAGTTCACCTTAAATAAGCAATATTAAACTACAACTTACATTAACATACTTATTTAATATATTTCATAGTTGAGAAGAAAAAGAACTGTCAATTTGAATCTCCTTGTTATTTTGCATTTCTAGTGTCCCACTATTGTATGTGTTTAGCCATAGTCTTTTCAAAGGCTAAGTTAATTTTTCCTTTTATCTCATAGTTTCTTCAGGAATCCTCGGATCTTTTGACAGAACGAATTTTCAATTATTTTTATCGGTGACACACGTACTCATTGTTTATGCAATTCTGTAAGTATGTAGAACCATTTCCTCAAATTACAAAACCAAGCATAAGGCTGAGAGCATCTTTCCTGGGATATATTGTGAAAGTTAGACATGCAGTGGCTAAATAAATGGTTTCTGAATTTCTTTTTCTTACTTGCTGCACACAAATAAAGATCTGAATATGTTCCACTGTAACATTTCCACTGGGGGAAATGGAGAGAGAAAAATGCGATCTGTCTAAATTACTCTGAATTGTGTTATATGGATAACAAGCTTATGTCATTTCCAAAAGCATTTTGCTAGACTCCTGGAGGTAACAGAAAAGAAGATTGATGGATTATTTTCGAGGTTTATGGGCAAAGCAGAGCAGCAACACTGTAAATCAAGTAGCAGATAAGGGGATTGATAAAGAAGAGCAAATTTCTGAGGAAACTGTTGAATAGGGCAAGAATATGGGTCAAGCCATTCACTGCTGGAGCAGACAAGAGCCCAACTCAGTAACATTTGCTTTCCTTGTTGGTCTCACAAGGACCTTTCTCTTTCCCTATTCAAGCTGTCTTAAGGAACAATATCTTCAACCTCCTTCTGAATATCTGTTTACACAGATGAGCTGAGGTAAAATTAAAGCACATCAGCACAGGATTTGACAAAGCATAGTTAATGTTACCTAATTTAGTATAACAGGAGCTTTGATATTGTAATAGGTTTTCTATATTACAGATGAGTTTATCTTACATGGGTAGTCACCTGTTCATGTTCTTTTCTTCTTCTACATCTCTCTTGCAGTGTTTTTATCCTCATTTGTTCCACATTCTATATGCGATATAAAGTTAATCGTTTGGAAGAGCAACTTGTATCTATGGCTTCTACTGTGGATCCACATAAGGATGAGTACAGGTACTCTTTATTGAAATGCAGCGCTCTTTGTATTCTTTTGTATTGATTGTTCTTCACCATCCTTCCTGGGTGCAGGGAATCAGGGATCATATTATAGAAACTCTACCCACGCTTTTTTTTTTTTTCAAAACAAGAAAGATGACATGGTCTACCTGAGAATCTGACTAGTCCAATATCCACTTCTCACACTGGCCAAATACAAGCAGGACATAAAAACTTAAGAAATAGATTGCTTATGATTCTAGAGATAAATCATCTGAGTAATACATTTTCCAAGAAATCCTTGGGGAGAGACTTTATCAAAAGTCTGAAAGTCCAAGCATGTAACATCTCATTGATCAACTATATCGACATTCTTGCTGTCATTCTGACTTTTTCTGGTGCCACATTTATTCTTCTTTAATCAGGCTTTTGCTCTTTTTTTAATGTTTGTTTTTTATATTTGACTTACATAGCCACCCATCTCACATAGATTACTCTTATGGTAAAATAGATTTTAAAAATACATAATATAAAAACACACAGCTGCCAAGAATAAAAGCATAATTATTAACAAATTCAAGAGTTGAGCTATATCACACAGGGCCCATAGCCTGCCTAGCTAGTTTTCTGTTTTTTTGTACACATTTATTATTTTTGTTTTTAATTGCAAAACAACTAAAATATGCTGCTCAGACCATTTTTACACCTTACACCATATTTTTCATTTCTTTTATATGAAATTGACTGTTTGTTTATCCAACATTTTTATTTTTTAAATAAGTATTTTTCCATATACAAGTAGTTTTCAACTTATGACTGGTTGCTAAGAGACACTGGTTGCTTTAAGTTATAAGAGACACCACCACCCCAAAGGTATTTATGACCCAGATTTGAAGTTTCAACAACCCATGATCCCACATTTGGAGCACTCGCAATCAGCCTACATTTATGACCGTTTGCAACATCCCGTGGTCATAATTTGTGATTTTTTTTTTGCCAGAAACCAGTGTTTACTTCCACTTTCTGGCAAAAAAACCCATCCATTACAAACAATGGGTTCCCTTTCTGGGGTTCATTTAATGATCGTCATGTTCACTTCACAATCTGTAGACAACAGTTAGAACCATAATTAAAATTAAATGCAAAAGAGGCATCAGGACTAACTAGAGGCTTCATGCCAACTGAAATAATACAGTTTTAATATGCTCCCTGAATGTGAAAAGGGATGGACCCATCCTCATTTCTGGGATAACGTCTTTCAAGCAATAGGATCCACCACTGAAAAGCCCTAGCCCTCATCCCACAGACCTTAGAGAATAGGGGACCCTTGGTAAATGATTGTCCTAACCTGGCAGATTATATCTTGCCTATTATAATATAACACAACTCTGTACATGTTGTAGATGGACTTTTTATCTTTACATTAGTGGTTTTAATAGTCATGTCATTATAGACTCTCAATGGGGTTGCACTTCCACATTCAAGACTTTGTCCAAGATACTTTGTCCTCATGGGCAAACAGCAGGTCGTAGCTGAGGTCATAAGGCAGGGGTCTTCAAACTTGACTGCTTTAAGACTTGTGGACTTCAACTCCCAGAATTCCTTCTCCAGTCATGTTAGCTCAGGAATTCTGGGTGTCGAAGTTCACAAGTCTTAAACTTGCCAAGTTTGAAGACGCTTGGCATAAGGCATTTGCACATGTACATCTAATGTGTCAGTTGCTCCCTTTTCTAAATTTGGAGGCCATTCAGACTCATGCCCGACCACGTTACAATTGGATTACTGTATTGTAAAAATAATTAGCAGGTGAATACTTTTCTAGCATGAAGACAGACACTCTTTAGTGAATTTCTGCAAAAATGTCTGCTACTGAAGTTATAGGACCAGAGTTAGATTTTATGTGTGTAAAGAATCTAATTGTAACCCAACTGTACAAACCCTTATACCGTGTGATGCTTTACACAGTGTTTTCATGCTTTAGTGGAATGCTAACAAACCCTATGCAAGAAAAACACAACTTATAATAACCAAAGTAAACGTACGTTCAATTTCCATTTCTTCAGAGTGCCATTTCCATCCAAAAGCTTCAATGTGCTTATACAGTAAATGAATATTCTCATTCTTATAAAAGACACATTCAAGCAATTATTTTTAAGCTACACTCTCAACAGCCCTAGTGTATTCCTAAAAAGATAAGCTTGAACCTTTATCGTAATCACAGACGAAAATACAATGGAACAGCTCTATAAAACCCATAATTTACTACAAAATCACTATTAAAAAGAACTTTAATATCCACCCTAATACCCTATTCTTTAAACTGGTGCCTAGAGTAATAAGTAGAATAGAAAAACTTGGCAGTGGACTTGGATGTTTAGGTCTTGCTTATCCAGACTTGGATGTTTAGGTCTTGCTTATCCAAAAAATAATAAGCATAGAATTTACAGGGTATCCAGACATAATAGGTTCTTACAATTACATTTCTAAAAGTTACAATAAAATAGGGCATATGCTAGAATTTCAGCAGCATCTCAAACCAGAATGACAGGTTCTGTTGTTATAGAAGATGTTTGTGAATCTGCCTTCCACTGCTTGTTAAAGAAAGAACATTAAGTTGGTGAGTGTGAACAGTCTGTGATATTTAGAGAGAGTTTGCTGCTCAAAGTACTTTGTTGGCTTAGAACTAGAGTCAAGATTGCTGTCCACAATTTTTGTAAGGCTGATACATAACTGTCCAACTTTTAACATCTATTGCTTACTTATAGCCAGTTCTTTGAACATCTTTACATTTCCAAGATGATATAAAAGTGTCAGTGAGTATTAAGGCAGTGAGATCCTGTGAAAGAAAAGTCAACTATTAATTTGTGGCCTATATCTGCTTCAGTAAGCAACTTCTTATGAAAGACCATGCTGAAGATACAGTTAAAGATACAACAAATTTGGACCAGATAGTCTCATAGATAGTTGATTGCACCTGCATCACATAACACCTGAGTTATGGGTTTAACAATAAACATATTAATAAGGATGTAATTGATATTTTTGGCTTTGAAAAATGGCATGATAGCTGCAATGCACTTTTGGCCATTTCAAATAGAATAAGCAATGTGCTTATTTTTATGCTAATCTGTTGAATAAAAAATCATATCCAGTTGTTTAAACCACTTGCTCTACAAATGCTGTTTATTAACTGGACACATGAGTTATATTTTATTTTTTAGAGAAAATCATAATCTTTGTTTTACCAATTCACATGAACATATATTGTTGATATGAGTCTTGTATCAAGTTGCTATGCTCAATGCATATCAGCATAAAGGAATAAACTTGTCTTTTCTGCTGTGTTCCAGTTACGTTATTTAGTTAGATTTTTAATTTATTCCATCTGTAATCATATGTTGTCTCACTTTCTCAACCCATATTCTCTATTTCAGATATCCAATACAAGGTGGTTTGGGATATCACCAAAAATTTAATGTTGATGGTCTGTATGCAGAGCTAACAGCTAATCTTATCAAACTGGAAAAGGTAACTGGAAAGAATTGCTGAACTACAGAAAGCAAAAATAGTGGAGAGACTTCATGAACATAAAGATGGAATTAAGATTTATTGGGGTGAAAAGATGGTTAAATATCTCTTAACTGGGTAGGAACAAAAGAGGTCAGATGGCTGAAATCTTTCATAGCTCTGTAGAAGATATTTTAATAGGGATAGCTTGCCTAAGCAGCCACATAATGAAGAATGCTAATAAAACTTTTGAATATAAATTCTATAAAATTTAAGAAAATTTTCTAGAAGATTCTCCTCCCCCCGTTGTCTAAATTAGGCAAAAATCTATTCACAAAATATAATTCTTTAACATTTTGTCTGTCCCCATACTGTATACCAGTGATGGTGAACCAATGCCATGTGTGTGTACATTCCCCAACACACTACTTTTCAAAGCAGCCCTGTTATTATTTAATTTTCAGAGGCTGTGGAGGCCATATAAGAATGGAATATACCTCTCTTGGTTTTTCTCTTTTGTTTTTTTTGGGGGGGAAGGGGGGTGACATTACAACAGAGTCAAATTAGATATTTGTGCCATCACTGCTGAATACCAATAAAATTCTGAACCTGGAAATAGTAATTCTTCTTCACAGCCTTGAAAATACTCATTTAAAGCAGTTTAGGCCTCTTCAGTTAATCTACTTTTCAGGTCAGTTCATATATAGACTTACTTGTGTAATATCCCTTCCTATGCTATAGACTTATGTGAGCATCTACTGAGAAGCCAGTCCTTCAATTCATAGAATTTTTTTTTTGTAATGATAAAGTCACTTTTCTAAATGTTGCAATAAGTCACCTTGTTCTCTAGACCAGCAGCCCCTAACCTTTTGGGCACCAGGGACTGGTTTCATGGAGAGAGGTTTTTCTGTGGACCAGAGTGGGTGTGGTTTCGTGTGCTGCCTGCATCCCATGGATGGACCTTCACTTGTTTGCACGGCCCAGTTTCTGGCATGCTGCGGACCAGTGCCGGTTCATGGACCAGAGATTGGGGACCCCTACTCTAAACACATATTGTACTAAGACAAGACAGGGAGGAGTAAAGGCTGTTGGTCTAAATCACTGCTGTAGAATTAATAGGCTAGACATAATAGTTTTAAAATGTAATCTTCAATGTTATGAATTTACCTGGATTGAGTCATAATAAAAGAAAGTATTCCACTTTAGGTATGATTCCAATTGAACAATTCATCTCTTATCCATGTAGCAGCTAGTTTTATCTATATAATGTGTTCTGTATTTTATTTTCTCCAAGATACAAAGCAATTTACAGAAGCTACTTGAAGACAATAAGTGAACTGCCTGTTGCCTTTCAATTACTTCATTCGCACCTCATTTTTTCTCTGGATAAGCAACTCTGAAGATAATATCAGGCTTAGCCAATCAAGTTATGTGTACTTGAGCTCAGTTCGGATTCACAGTTCTCATGCAATAGCATCTGTTTTCTTAGAGGACAATCCATTTCTTTGTCTACTCTGTATATGATGAATAACTGAGGGAATCCATCTCAGGCATTATTATTATGATCCTGACTGGCTCAGGTTTGACTAAATCTTCCATCCTTCCGAGGTCGGTAAAATGAGGACCTAGATTGTTAGGGGCAATATGCTGACTCTGTAAACTGCTTAGAGAGGGTTGTAAAGCACTGTGAAGCGGTATATTGGTCTAAGTGCTGTTGTTATTGCTATTATATTGCTTAAACTTACCATAATTCCATTCTGTTCTACTGTTTTTTAGGCAACCAATATGAGCATATGCAATTTGCTGTGGAATTATGCCTGAAAAACTTTATAGCTTGTATATGCTTATATTTGAAACATTCTAATTTTCTTTTTTTCTCTCTACCTGGACAAGAAGGAAAGTCTGAACATATTCAGAATGTCATTAACTGGACTCTATAAACTTAATTTTGTGACTACGTTAGCATTTTGATTTGATCGAGTTCTTTCCAGTTGGATCTGGCATGTTCCTACAAAGTTGCCAAATAGAATCTGGGCTGCATGCTCAACTGCAATTAAGTATATTTTCCTGTTTTACACAGGATCATGAATGCACACATACATGTACACCTATATTCACCAAAGCCTTCATTGGTAAAGTTTTCTATCATGTCTAGGTAAAGCATATCCAAGGACTCTTGTAATCAAAGTTTGACAATCCTAATTCCATAGAGTTGGCTCAGACCAAATTAGTAACATGTTGAGTCAGGTGAAATGTGCGTGTGTGTGTGTTTCAGTGATTGTTGACTCCTGTCAACTACCAGGACTGTCCCTGCAGTTTTCTTGGCAAAGTTTCTGTAGTGGTTTGACTTTGCTCCCTTCCTAGGAGAGATTGTTCCATGGTCTTCCAGCTGGCTTTGTGCCTAAAGTGGGATAGAACTCTCCTGGCTTCTAGCCCAGTGTCTTAACCGCTATACCGAACTGCCTGTCTGTAGGCCTTAGTTAGACATTATTTTAGAATTACATTGGTCTTAGTGGTTCACTAATACAGTCATTTGTATAAGTTATAGCCCTAATTTCTACTGGAGTTTAAATATGTCATCAATATTTAGCCCAATTGATTTAGATGGCCTGAAATCTGTGCATTCCTATTCCAATTATGCAATTGGTATAATGTTTTTAAATAAAACAGCAAATCATCTACAAAATTAGAGTGGACGATCAGATAAAGACTTTATAACAGGAATCTGGATTATTTCAACTGAACCAATTGATAAACTTGTAAATTTGACATACTTTAAGTTAATTATAAGCCAAGGTTTGGGGGATTTTTACTTTATCAAACTCCTTATTTTTCCTTTTATTTTTGATATACTATAAATGTTACTGTATTTGAGTATTGCAATCTGTCATATTTGTATTAGAATTTTCATTTCATTCATTCTTATGGAAAGATGGCTAATTCATGAGTTCAGCATCTCAAAACAAGTGATGAAGTAATGTGCAATATTAGTCCATAGCATTTTAATATAAAGCCATGATTTTTCCATTAGAATATCCTTAACTTCGGCTATACAGACAGTCCTTGATTAAATGATCACAATTGAGCCCAAAATTTATGTTGCTAAATGAGACATTTGTTAATTGAGTTTGGCCCCATTTAATGACCTTTCTTGCCAGTTGAGTGAATCATTGCAGTTTTTAAGTTAGTAACATAGTTGTTAAGTGATGGTCACAAAAGGTGATCACATGTCCGTAAGGACACTACAACCATCATAAATATGAATCATTTGCCAAGCGTCCAAATTTTGATGACATGACCCTGGGGATCTTGCAACAGATATGTGAAAAATGGTCATGTCACTTTTTCCAGTACTGTTGTAACTTTAAACAGTCACTAAATGAATTGTTGCAAGTCAAGGACTACTTCTACAGTGTAAGAGAAGTATCTTACTGTTGATTTGACTCTTCAGCTCTCAAATGAGTTAGATCATATTAAAGCTATTCAAAATATGTATGTCTGTAAATAGCCAGCTTTCTGTTTATATAGCAGAAATGTTAATTGTGTCATTTCTATGAAATGTAATTTATATATTTAAAATAAACTATTTCTGAATGTACAGTGAATTCATTTTTGTTGAAATGCACCTTAATCAGAAGTCAGTTTTGTATAGTGGGATTCAAAGGGACAGTTTCAATACAGCAGTGGGAAGAACTATGAAACAAGCTTATAAAACACATGCTAAACTATGGTTTGAAAGAGAACAGCTCTCTTTCAAACCATAGTTTGACATGTGTTTTATAAGCTTGTTTCATAGTTTTACAAATAGTATACAACTCCATCAATAATTGCCCAAGTACATAAATCATAAAGTAATAATTGTTGGAAATGCCACAAAAAAGAAACATATCTGATGGACATGCAAAAAAAAAATACTGGAAAAATGTACATAGTTACTCAGAGAATTTTGGAATGAAATTTAAAGTGGAACCACTATTTCTTTTATTAGGTATAATTCCAGAACCTATCAAAAAGGCATACCATAATTTATTAAGACACTTGTTCATGATTGTGAAGATTAACTTTGCACAAGGAAGGGGGAGGTCAGAAATTAAATACCTTTATTAATTTTAGGGTTGTTTTATTATTAGTTTAAACATTTATAAATAATAATATAGTGGAGCTTTTGACATTAAACTTGAATTCATACTTTTTGATATTGTAAAAGTAATATATCCTGCTTGGAACCCTTATTAATGTCATATTGATAATATTTGCACAACTTGAATAATTAATAGATATCTTTTTGAAAGTATATCTTTGTTTTAAATAATTGTAACAAGAGTAAATTTTAATAATAATAATAATAATTAATAATTAATAATAATAATAATAGAACTGGTGATATACTTTTTAGGAGAGGGAATGAGGTCTTCGTGTATCTAGATTTGTATAACTTTATTCACAACTTCATTGTTAAATAAAGTTTTTTCTAATAGAAAAACAAGGAAAGGAAAGGAAAAAATGTGCAAAGGGGCTAGACAACTTTGCCCACTCCACTCCAGAGAAAACAGGTGGGGATGGTGCAGGTTCTTTAAGCAATCTCTGTGCCCTGCTAGGGGATAAAAAGGAGGAACACTGTGTGAGAAAAATTTATCTGAATGAGGCAGCAGCAACCAGTGATTTTTGAAGCACTGTCTCTCAAGTCATGTGGTTCGCTTAGCAAACCAAACCAAATGAGGTCACTAAACAAGGACTACCTTTATTTCTTTGCATTTCAACCTATATGTCCATGTCATCAACTTCAGAGTCAATGGCCCAGTGGCTAGCCATCTATGTACAACCTAGAGTGAAAAATATCACTCAATTTAATAGCAATATAAAATACATCAAACTTTGAATGAGGTCTTTTCCATGTGAGGAACCAGGCACAATTGCCATGGGCATCATAACTATCACTGTAAAAAATATGCTTAGAGCATTAAGATTCTTGCATTACTTTAAAAAATGTCTAACTGTCGGAGTAGCTTTGATTTTATCTTGTCATGCTTGGTATAATCTTAGAAGCTTGAAGCATGACTGCTAAGCAATTTCTAGTAGCATCAGATGTTGTTCATTTTGTTCCCTATTACCAGCCAAAGTGGAATTAAGCTGGACAGAGCAGAGCTGAGTTTATTTAATTTGAGTACTTGTGTCAGAATTTAACTTTTCTTGGCATATTAAGATTTTTAAAAACAAGTTGAATCATAGAAACATAAGTAAAGAATGAACAGCTTTTTGCATCTTAGCAATTCAATACGCCTTTCACTTGATCAAGCTTTATTAAGCAGATACAAGTTGACCGACCAGCCCTTGAATTCTTTGTAGATTTCCACTATGCCTATTACACATTCAAAAGGAAATCAAGGCTCAGAGAATAAATCATTCCCTTTCTCCTACATGGCAGGATTCCAATAAAGCAAAACTGAAATGGAAGCAAACAGATTAGGTAAGACTGGATTTGCAAAATGTGTACATTGTCACTATCATTATACACTTAACATATAGGCGTTGCATATAAAGAATTTCAGAGCTTTAGCCAAAGCAGACACACCCTCCTATAAGCCTTCTCTATCCTAAGATTTACCAGGTGATTTATACTATAATAAGTCTTGAGGTTCCCAGCCAACATTAGCTCTTGATGATTCTTCTTGAAATTCTCTTTGGTGAACATACCGCTTTACCACCCATGCTTGTCACCACAATATTGCTTCTTGATTGCCTACCAACCCACTGCCTCATCTCCTATTCAGAGTTCTCACTGTTCATGACCTGTTAGATCAATCTTAATTATCCCAATTTCATATGATTCTGAAACCCAAATTCCAATACTACGTTTGTCTGCTGAGGTTAATATACAGGGTTTTTTTTTATTACACCCATGCAAACTATGTCAATATTTAATCTCAAGTATATTTTTAGTTCAAGCACATTATGCTCAGTTTCATTTTGACATTTATTAAATTATAACCTATTTTCTATCATATATTCAAGGAAGCAGCCAAATTGACTGGTTATTATTGGTTACAAACAACTTTTTTTGGGTTACAACATTCTGAATCCAAATACAAATAGCAGATTGTTAATGCAAAAAAAAACATAAGACAGAACAATAAGAAATTGTTCTGTAGAGCTTTTATGTGGAATTCATATAAATGTAAATATAGAAGAATGCTGCAAAGATGCAGTATTCAAATCAGTATTTGATTGCAGTATTCAAATTCACTGCAAAGATGCAGTCAAAGCATCAAAGGAATACTGATCTTTTGGTTACTTTATGATGTCTGGAATTTCTTACCCTCTGCATGGCAAATTGTTATCTCTTTGCTATTTCAGAGTGGTATCAGGAAAATTAAATACAGATATGTTTATTTTGGCCTTTGCCCCGAGACATGAAATATAATCTCCAAACAACCTTGTTAGTTTGTGATAACAAAGATTTTCAGGATTACTGAGGACCAAAGTACTTGTGACTATTTTTTAAAAATAACTATAGAAGCATTGTCTGTGGCCAATATGAGGATTGATCAGGATTATTATACATGAGCTTCCCTGCAGTCCAGAGAAATAAAAATGCCACTCACTTTTTTATGGATTTCAAGTACAGGTAATCCTTACAATCACAATTGAGCCCAAAATTTATGTTGCTAAGGGAGAAATTTATTAAGTGAGTTTTGTCCTATTTTATGACTTTTCTTGCCACATCTGTTAAGTGAATCACTGCAGTTGTTAAGTTAGTAACATTATTGCTAAGTGAATCTGGCTTCCCCATTGACTTTGCTTGTCAGAAGTTCACAAAAGAAAAGCACATGACCCTGGGACACTGCAACTATCATCAATATGGACCAGTTGTCAAACATCCAAATGTAAATCATGTGGTCATGAGGATGCTGCAACAGTTATAAGTCTGAAAGATGCTCACACCTCATTTTTTTCAATGCTGTTGTAACTTTGAACAGTCATTCAGAAAACTCTTGTAAGTCGAGGACTGCCTGTACTGAATCCTAGCCCACAACGCGACAGTATTTGGTCCCCCAAATTATTGTACAATATATTCACCCAGAAGATTGCAACCAAATAATGAAGGCTCAGTGTAACTTTCAGGGAGGCACCTCCCTCTAATCTTTTCACAGAAGAAAACAAAAAATTATTCATTCATTTTCCATTCAATTTTGATAATCGAGCAAGGTAGCCAGGGAGCAATTCTTCACTACTTAAAGCAAACATGTCTTTTGGGGCTAGCAACATTATGCAAACTCTGCATAAAGGGAATAAGAAGATAACAAAATTTATTAGCCTGAGGTGTACAAAAAAAGGAAATGTATCTATATCTCATTTACATCAGTAGCAGTTGCTTTAGCTTCCCATAACTTTATATCTCTGCAAAACATCTCTACTACAGTTGTATAGTGCTTCCTATATTGTATTTTGTTCTTTAGTTCATATAATACTAATTATACGTGTTTTATCCCTATCCATGTCAGTTAACAATAGTACCAGAGCAGGGGTGTCAAACTCAGTTTCATCAGGGTTGTATTTGACCTCAGGGGGCCAGGGTGGGCATAGCTGAGGTGAGCGTGGCCAGCTCAATGTCACTCATATTGGGGGCACCTTTGGTGGCCAAGTGTTAAGGCAGGACTTCCCTCAGACCCTCCCTCACTCTCATTTAATCTTCCTTCTTTTTCCTTCCCTCTTCATTCTCTTTTCTTCTTCTTTCTCCTCTTTCCTTATTTTTCCTTCCTTGCTCCCTTCCCTTCTTTCCTTTTTTTCCTTTGCCTTTACTCTTTCCCTTTCTTCTTTCCTGTCCCTTCTTGGGTGCTCAAATGCAAAAGGAGAAACATTTCTTGTTTTCTTTTGTTTTGCTTTTAGTTTGCTTTGCTGGTCCTCTGCCAGCGAAAACGGAACCCGGGGAGGGGTGTATGTTCCCCCCCCCGAGCTCCGTTTCTGCTGGCAGAGGGTTGCAGGAGGCCCTTCCTAGCTCCATTTCCACTGGCAGAGGCACTGCAGGCCGGTCCTTTGCTGTTTCCAGGGCAGTCCCGCAGGCCAGATCTAAGCATCCCATGGGCCGGATCCAGCCCACCCTTGTTCTAGAGAGAAGACCATCAACTTTAATCATACCTTGTTCAATGCAGCAACTTTAAAATAGGTGAT